AACAAAGGCGAAGCTCCTCTCCCCATCGGGGTTTTTCCCCTCGAGCCGGCCCGCGAGTTTTCCCGGGGAATTAAATCGATAACCTCCCTCATTCCCCGTCGTGCAAAACACTCGCGATGGGGGACCATGGGGCATTCTGCACGGTGCGGACACGTAGGAACCGATGTCTCTCCCGCGGGCATGGAAACAGGTACACCCGATTCCGTTGTTACACGAACGCTTCTCGCGCGATTCTGATTTAACACGACTAATTTTTCTCTCTCCGATGGGAACTTTTGGACAGTAATTGCTCGTCGTTCCACGGTTACGTAAGGGTGTCAACCCCTGCAGAGATACGTATTTATGACGTGCAATCTATTCATTGACACTTTGCACTCGGAAGTTTCTCGCTAGAAATATTCAACAGTTTTTGAGGAGGTTTTTTTATTCCAATATTTCACGTATCGAGGTATTATACAAAGTGCAACATTAAATAGATTGTACAGTTTCACTGCGTCAAAGGGTCAAAGAATCCACCAGAACGAGGTAATGACATTGCAACGCTCCGCGACCTCCTCTTGTCAGTAACGGGTACACGCCCAGCTGCCCCAATATTTTCTACTAGTACTCTGACAGAGACATTTGGGATTAAATCTAGACCAGCTCCGCATGACTGATAAGTCGAAGCATAAGAAAAGGTCCAGAATGAAATCATCTAAAATGGGAAAAAGCTGCCGAACTGCACTTTCACCGGTAATTCCATCAACGGCCGACCACCCGTGGATTCTACCGAACGAACCGTGAATTCTGACACAGTTTCCCAAGGCGAAGGAACGGCCGTCGAGGACGGGAGAAAGAAGGAAACGCAGGGGCGGATGGGACGAACGTCGGCGACGGCGATCGAAGCGGCGGGGTGGGACACGAGGGAGGGTGGCTGGAAGAGCACAACGTCTGCGGTCCGGCCCTCCCTAAGCGGCGAGTGGCCGGCCGGTGATCAATATTGGTTGACGCCGGTTAACACCAAGAACAACAGGAACCGGGACGGGACGAGGTAAATAGAGGATAATAGAAACTAGAGCTGCGCGAGTGTGTACTCTGTATTCACCTGTCGGGCTGAATTCTTATGCGATCGCCGAAGCTCAGCAGGCTACTCGCGTTTTCCAGGTGTTCGGAAGGCGTTCGGTTGTGTGCTTGCAGCTTGCCGATTGTTCGGTTTGCTGAAAGCCGACGGTTAAGCCCAGCAAAGGAGAACTGGGAAATGTTCTGTCTAACGTTCGGTCATTGAAACCGAAATCGGAAGCTTGAAGATGGATAATTACGATCCACGTGGAAGAGTAATTGGGAATCTGTGAAAACGTTCACTAAAGAACATTCATGAGGTTCGATATGCGTGAAGTTGACGCGTTCCGTGAACGTGGGGTTAAAGAAAACGCGCTTTAACGTAGTTCTATGCAAGAAACCTTCAGAAGCTCGCCGACAGATGGGTAAAAACGCGTTGAAAGGAAAAGCGGGGAAAAAAACGAAGGAAAATACCGAGAGGGTGAGAAACTCGAGTGGATCTCGACGAGCGCGCGCGTGCGTGCGTGCGCGAGCGCATAAATGAATAAGTAAACGAGATCAGACGTTGATACGAAGCAAATGAGCGGCTCTT